CTTCTGCTAGGTTGTGGTGCGGTGTGTCGCAATCGTTTTGGAGGTCATTTCAGGATACTTGTTGCTTGACTTTGCACACGCCTACCGTGCAAAAACCTGGAGTTTTTGCAGCCTTCCAGACAAAAACTTCGCAACTGACGCTAAGATTGAACAAAAAACACGAAACGCATGGCATTTGCGACACTTTCGCAAAAAACGCTACCAAGAAACAAAAAACAAGAACAAAAGGCATTGGTAACGAAAACACCGAAACGTCCCGTCGTTGACGAAAACCTCGCAAAACACAGGGTTTTCGTACTGTCGACCAAAAAACCTCCCAAACATAAACGACACACCCCGCGCGGCGGCAGACGCACGTGCTACCTTGTTCTTGTTCTTGTTGTTGCTGTTGTGGTAGTGGTAGTGGTAGCAGTGGTAGTGGGCAGTGGCCGTTGCGATTGCAGTGGCAGTGGAAGGGGCAGGGGTAGTGGTGCTAACAGTAGCAGGAGCAGGAGCAGGAATAGGAGTACGAGTCGTAGTCGTAGTTCCAGGGCTGGGGCTTGTTGTTGTCTTTGTGGTGTTTGTTTGTTGCTGGTTGTTGGGTGTTGGTTCGTTGGTGGTCATTGCTGTTGTTGTTCTTGTAATTGTTCTTGTTCTTGTTCTTCTTCTTGTTGTTGTTGTTGACACAAGCGGCTGGAGCTCAGGCCTGAGACCGCAGCTTACGAGCTACAATGCGGCAGCCAGCGCCTGTGCCAAGGGGCTGCGGTGGTACGAGGCCTTGTGTCAAATCTGGGCGCGGCCGCGGATTTTGCTCCATTGGTATAAACATGTAGACATAGACAGGCATAGCAGCCAGAGCATGCTTGATTGTGCATGCAAACGTATACATAAGACTACAGGTATACACATATTATACCAATGTACGTGTGCACACAAATCTGTCATTTTGCGTGCCTCGGTGTTTAAAAAGTGCATCTGTTTGCACCTAATTACGTAAGTAACCTACGTACATGTGTACACACAGATGTGTGTGTGTGTGCGCGCACACATCTTGACCTAATCTATACGCAAGCACGCACGTACGAACGATCGCACGAACGCACCAACGCACCACTGCACCAACGCACCAATGCACCAACTCACCAATGCGCCAACGCACCAACTCCGCACTAGACGGATGCTGTGGAGGCAGCGATTCTACTGGGCCAGCTGAATGAAGCCGGGCTGGAAGATGCTCGGGCATGGTTTGGCCGGGTTTGAAGTATTTGGGAACTTCCATGCACAGGTCTACATACGCAAATTTCAACGAAGGCGATTGGATCCAAAGCCGAGTTGTTGACGGAATTGGATCTTCACATCCGGAGCCAAGAAGTCCGTCCGACCCGTGAATTTTGCTCCTCGTGTGCTCAGGGCGACGTGGTTTCGCTGACTGCAGCCATCACTGCCTGCAAGTTTCAATGGCCCCTTGTGTTGGCGCTCCTCGACAGGTGGGCTGAGACCAAACCATTTCTCCGCCGCCTAGATTAAACCCGTCAGGCTTGAAAGATTTGAGAGGTTTCATGTAGGATCAGGTGTCTTGGAGCCGTTGAGGGTTTAGACTCCGCTTGCAATCCCTCGAGCGGCGACAAGTCGGAACCGGCCAGGGGGTTTGGGTCTTTGCGTCTTGGCTGTTCTTTGCCTGACACGAATCCGAAGGTGGCGTTTTGCAGGCAATTCTGCGACCTATACTGCAGCAGACGCCTGGCCAGGGCATTTCAGCTTTACCGTGAAGGTACCCTTCGCACATCTTGTCGCCTTGTTGAGTGCTTGGTTTTGGCTGAGCAGCACCTGTCACTAGGGGGGCGGCATGGAGTGGCTGCACAGATTAATGAAAACTTATTACACATTCAATATCGTGCAATCCGTATTCAGGTCGCCGCCTGCCAGCTGGACGACCAGTGGAATGCGACAAGTAGACTGCTGAGCCTCTTCCGCGAAGGTTCTGGCTGGATGTGGTGGTGAAAGCCTGCGGGCGAAAAAAGTTGATACCTTCTGCCATGCTCTGCCTTTCTTTCGGCGAGCCCATTCCCCCCAAAGCTAAGTTGTTGTAGCGAGCGGATGCCAGTCAACCGACACTTTGGGTGCGTCCAAGGGCGACGCTCGTGGTCTCGAGTCCGGTGTTGGCCATTGGACCTGTCGTTCGGAGCTCCAGAATGTGTCAGGAGGATTGCCACAAGTCCACAAAGGGGGGTGCCGCAGTGCGATACCCAGCAAACCCCCCAATGAACGGCCCAATGCATCAAACATCCCGACGAACTGGCGCCTAGGACCAACAGCTTAATAGCTTTTGCCGCACTCCCGATGATATGGCCCCCCACAGGACGATAGCAGATGTACCGCACACGCCCAATCTACGTCCATATAAGATCATATAAGTGTATAACGCCCTTCTGCGCAACCCGGGCCAGGCATCCGGACTCTTTGCCCTGAAGCCCCTCACATGGAAGCTTCCGCGCTTGGCAGCGCGGGCCTTTCCATGAGAAGAAGGGGAGTTTCTGGGTGCGTATCCTGAAAGGGTTACTGGTACTACAGTATGGGGCTTAGTAGGCAGACTCTCAGAAGTTAGTTTGACAAGAGGGATTGGGGTGTTGCTGACGGGCTTTGATGAGTTCAGGGCTCCAGTCTACTGGCAGGGTTCTCGAGTGTTGGAGCCTGGGATGTGTGTGCGCACGGCCAGAAGATGTATCGAACTGGCTGCTGCAATTGGCAACACCTGTACCGCGAGCCCCCCGACCCCAACCTCGATCCTAAACTGTTTTAAGACGAACATCAGACCTACCTCGCCGGCATGGATGCTTCGGAGATGAGCTTCATGATCGGACTCCTTTCTGAGGTGCAGCAGGGGAGGGGAGGGGGAGCGGGGGAAGAGGGGCATTAGGAAATTCTTGCGGCTCCGACAGCAGAAGATGCACCATGGAACTTCTGCTTGCGAGGCCTTTGAGCTTGGGAGGTCGGGAGTGTTTGTTGGGTGAGGTTGAGGCATCACTAGTCGAAGAGTGTCTTCATGTGTGTTCATGCACGCCAAACTCTAAACCCTACTGCACAGTGGTCACACCGATTCCAAAAGAGGTGCGGTAGTAATAATAGTCCGTTTGCTCTGCTTCCATGTAGGAGCTCACCTGCAAAATCCTACTGTGGGGTGATTGCAAGAAGTCAGAAGTCGAATCATGGTAACATGATTACGTGGACGAAGAAGTTGACTAGAAGACTTCAAAGTGGCTCGCTGTCCTCTGCAGGAGTACACGAAGAACTTTGAGATTGTGTCCTCGCTCGAGACGGAGCAACCGCTGCTGAAGCTCCGCTACCTCTCAGGCACCATCACCTCTGCATAAGATAGTCAAGGTGGGTGAGACAGCCTGACAGGACACTGGACTTATGGGTATCTAGACTCTACGCCGGTTTTCCGAAGCTGCAACCTCTTATAACGGGGGCCTGGTATACTTGCCAGCTGATTAGGTAGGCATGTTGGAACCCAATGCTTTTTGGTAGCTGTTGGATGCAAGAGTGTGCCGGGAGTCTTTGTTTACGGACTGTGGCGGTCATTCTGTTTGGCGCAGGCTCCATCTTAGCCTCACCGAGTCTTGTTGTTTGCTCAGTGTTTTGGTTGCTTCATCAGCAAGTCACCGTGGACCTGGACCTCGCAGCTTGTTGTAGACAGTTGTCTCCTCCTTGTTGCCTTGAATCGGCTAGTATTGACCTTCCAACTAACATGCACTAAGTGGAGTACTCCCGAAGGCTCTGAAGTATCATGGCAGTGTTTAGCCATGCTCTTATGTGGCTAAAACAAATCCACATTTGTAAAAGTCGCTATCCCCTTGATGTGAACTCGTCCACGTGTCGTTGCTCAGACTTTCGCCACCCCATCGTGGCGAAAGCTGCGCCGGAGTGGGTTGCAGACCTGTTCGCATCCTTGCACGAGGCACCGGTGTGTGCGTGAAATTGTCTCAGTGCTAAGTAGGAGGAGAATCTACTTCAAAATCCTGGGATCGGCTGGAAGACCAGAACTCTATTGGGCGGGTTTGTGATCACAGGCTCTCAGGCATCGTGACATCGTTCTTCAGTGCTGGCGAGTTGGGGAACTCAAGATGTTCAGCTTCATTGACCGCTGGCCTGACAGCTGCCCTTCCCGAAGCTTCAAAACCCAAGCCCACCCTAAACTTAGACTTGAACGACTCGTCATAACTCGTCAAGGGCCTTCGTTCGCTGAGAGCTTGTCAGACACAAGGCTGATGAGGCATGTAGCATGGATCCCACTCCACCCTTGTTCCTCCACGGTCACGATCGCGACAGTGCTGGAAACAGAGGAGATGCCTCCCACACCGTCGGGGAGCACCACTCTGCTGTCTTGCAACATGTCCTGCCACGAGGCCCGTGTTTCGGGGAGCTGGGAACTGGGAGGTCGACTAGGGAACTTGCTGGAATCAGCTGCACGACGTCAGAGCTGCCTCTTCGACGCACAGGATATGATTGTCTCTCTTTAACTCCTCGGGACGATATCAGCGCAGTGCATGCCACTGGATGGAATGAGTTTTCCCACTAAGTGGGCCTGGCAATCTTTCTTCCACCTCCCGCGGAATGTGGCAAGCCCCTGTGGCATAGGCATCAAAAAATTGATAAGCATCAAAGAATGATAAGCATCTAAAAAATTGAAACACACCCTAAACAATCCTAAACCCTATAAAATAAAATTTATTGATGCCTATCAGTTGTTGTTGGCTACCGTCAAAAGCCTAAACCCTCTTATCATTTTTAGATGCTTATCACTTTTTTGATGGCTACCGTGGTAAATTTTTCGATGCTTATCAAATTTCTTTTTGATGCGTCACCCCTGTAAAGCACGATGTCTTTCTAGAATTCACTGCCATGCATGGTTGGCTGTTGCTTTTGGAGCTCCGGCGGCAGGCCATGAAGGGTTTGGACCCTCCGATACTTTACAAGGCAGCCGTGAAGCTTGCTCAGGGACTACCTTTGATCCGATAGTATCACGAACCACCAGTAGCAGCTGAAAGCACCAGCACGAAAGAAACCGCTGTCTTTGCCGAAGTCGCTGGCCACGCGCTTCTTCGACTTGATGGGAGAGGAGGCGGAGAGGGCACCCCGACTGGCGCGGCGGAGGCACAAGGGCTTGTTCGCATCCAGGACTGCCATCAGTTCCAACCCTGCACAAGTCTCGAACTCTTAGCAGTGCCAACTGTACTTTTGGCACGGAGTCCTTGTGCCTTTGCTTTGTATACCAACCCGTGCCACAGGTGGCAGAATCGCTTGCAGCGGCAATTTCTCACGTGCTCCATGGATGAATTTTGTTGAAAACGCTCTCTGGCCGATCGTCTTGGCCTCCTCGGACCCATCGAAGGATGAGTAGCACCTACCCGAACCCATCGTTTGCAGGATCGTCCCCGCGAAATCTTTCTATCTGATCAGATCGCTACGTGTTGCGTGGCGGTAGCAGCGGTAGTAGCGTATGCAGCGAGATGCAGAATGAAGTAGAAGGTTGTGTGACAGATTTGCCTATGCTCACCGCGGCCTGCCTCGTCAAGTGATGCCTTGCCTACATTGAGTTCGACTCGTGACTGTGCTCCGACGGTCGTATCAGCATTCACGAAAAACATGCAAGAGTTGATTCAAGTCGCATGCTGCTCGAGAGCTAAGCGCCAGGTACGAACCAGACATCATCTGCCTGCAGCGGGTGGAGGCCTCTCGCAGCCACAGAAGCTCAGGATATGCAAGGAAGGAGGACGTGCGTTCGAGGACTGCAAGGGTGGCCCACAATGTCTTCTTCCTTTCTTGCAAGCTTGTCGAGGGTACTGTCAACGGTCCAATCTGAAGCTATAGTGTCCTTTACAGAGGCGGCTTAAAGGTCACCCCTCTGGTACAATATCCGGAGCATCCGGTGTCTTTGTTTTTTCTTTGGGCTCAGATCTCAACTCCTCAGCCTCGCCGTACGCGATAGACCCTAACAGCCCGAACATACTGTAACATATCCTACAATAGGCAATTAAACTATCACATACTATAATAGACTTAATATACGATTATATACTATATTGAAGGCGGATATCACGGCGCCTGTGGCCGGAGCTGAGTTCTCGAAGAGCGCAGGACGGCTTAGGGTTTAGGAAACCTAAATCCTA